CTAGTTGGTGGTAGGGTCTTGCTTCCTAAGTTGTTTGGAGATGCTGTGCGCCACATGTTTGCCTTTCCAATGGTCATTCTTTGTTGTTGGGTGGACATTTGCTGTTTCGGTGTTGGAATGTTGTTGCAGTTTCTGATTGCTATCAGTGCTGTAGATATAATTCATTTTTTCTTATTGTGTGGTTGATTCGTCTAATATGTAGTCTTTTTTTTCGGTTTTTGTTTTTTTTATGACAACTCTTGGTGCACTCTTTTTCTTCCATCTAGATTTAAGAAAGTTTTTTAACAAGGATGTTATATTATTCTTGTATTCCCCCTTATCGAATACAAATCCTTTTTCATAAAATTATATATATAAATGCTCGAGTACAACATTAACACTAGAACAGAAATTACAAGGACCAAATGAAGAATAAAATATTAGAAATTTGAATTAACAGCTTGAAAGTGAGAGTAACACGCAGTAGAATCGAAAACAGAAAATCAAATTATAGCAGAGTACGAGATAACACAGAGCGAGTCAAAAATTCAAAATCCCACGACTCAAAGTAGAAATTAATCTTCAGATTTAAGTTTAGTGTTTCCAAATTTAACGTTTACCTGATTTCCGAGTCTGTGGCAAACTTGAAGGGAAGAGAGGGCTCAGAACAGCCACCGGAGGAGAGGGATAAAGTATGGGTGGTTTTCTTAAGAGAAAATAATTTCAGTGACAAAAAATCTCAGATAATATACGATTTTGATCAACTTTTTTTGGATTTGCGAAAATGACTAACAAAATCGCAATGCGATCTCTAATTCGCATTGCGATCTCCACTATCGCAAATTCGCGTTGCATTTCGCGTTACGATAATTGAAAATCGCGTTGCGATAGTTGAAAATCGCGTTGCGATTTTCCAGTTCGCGTTGCGATTTTCCAGTTCGCGTTGCGATAGTTGAAAATCGCGTTGCGATAGTCTACAGTTGTCGTTGCGATTTTCCAAATTCGTTGCGATAGTCTACAGTTGTCGTTGCGATTTTCCAAATTCGTTGCGAAAATCGCGTTGCGATTTTCCATTTCGCGTTGCGATTTTCTAGTTCGCGTTGCGATAGTTGAAAATCGCGTTGCGATTTTCCATTTCGCGTTGCGATAGTTGAAAATCGCGTTGCGATTTTCCAGTTCGCATTGCGATAGTCTACAGTTGTCGTTGCGATTTTCTAAATTCGTTGCGATAGTCTACAGTTGTCGTTGCGATTTTCCAAATTCATTGTGATAGTTAAAAAAAAAGATTTTGTTTCTTAAGAATTTTCTCTAAAAAGATAGTATCCGCGTGGACGTGTCGAAGACACGTATTACCATTACCATTACCACGACCACGACCTGACCCGAGACGAGACGAGACGGACGACGGCGACGGCGCGCGAGAGTCCCCCTTGTTCTCTATCACTCAACAAGGAAGTGGGAAAGCCAAGCCTTAAATACCATTCTCAATAGTGTTTCCAATACTATGTGGGATTGAGCATTACCAATACTTGTTTCCAATACAATGTGATTATTCAGTAAACAACTAACAATCATGCACCTTAAAACAACTGAATCAGCAACTAATTGCATTAGTATTATACGATTAAATATGTCATAATTAAAAGTCAATCTACAATCAATCGCGATTATTGCAATTTTAAGCAAAACATTCAAAAATAATATCACTATTTAAGGCTCAATCCCACATAGTATTGGGAACAAGTGTTGGTAATGCTCAAATCCCACATAGTATTGGAAACACTATTTGGAATGGTATTTAAGGCTTGGCTTTCCCACTTCCTTGTTGAGTGATAGAGAACAAGGGAGACTCTCGCGCGCCGCCGCCGCCGTCTGTCTCGGGTCGGGTAGGGTCGTGGTCGTGGTCGTGGTCGTGGTCGTGGTAATACGTGTCTTCGACACGTCCGCGCGGATACCATCTTTTTAGAGAAAATTCTTAAGAAACAAAATCTTTTTTTTTAACTATCGCAACGAATTTGGAAAATCGCAACGACATTGTAGACTATCGCAACGCGAAATGGAAAATCGCAACGCGATTTTCAACTATCGCAACGCGAAATGGAAAATCGCAACGCGATTTTCAACTATAGCAACGCGAAATGAAAAATCGCAACGCGATTTTCAACTATCGCAACGCGAATGGAAAATCGCAACGCGATTTCCAACTATCGCAACGCGAAATGCAACGCGAATTTGCGATAGTGGAGATCGCAATGCGAATTAGAGATCGCATTGCGATTTTATTGGTCATTTTCGTAAATCCAAAAAAAGTTAGTCAAAATCGTATATTATCTGGGATTTTTGGTCACTAAAGTTATTTTCTCTTTTCTTAATGATATTTATTTATTTTCTTTAATATTTTTGTATTTGAGTTATAGTTAATATAATAAAGTACATTTATGATATTTAATTATGATCAGATTTAAAATAAAAAAAAAAACTTAGCTGTTTTCTTCCGCATTCTCTCTCTTAATTTGTGTTAATTTTATTGTTTAATTCAATTTTTTCTCTAATTTTATATAATCAGCAACGATATCGGTTTTGATATTGGTTGCCACTCACCAATTATTTTTTTAATTTTTTGAAAAGAATAATTATGTCTTTGTGACATATTCTCTGTCTTTATGATATATTTATATATATCTTTGTGACATATTTTCTATCCCTTTTGATAGTTTATAGTTTTTTCTTTTTTTTTTCTTTTATATTTTTCACAAGGTTGGATTTGATATCACCACGACTGATCAAGATGACACTTATTTGTTCATATTGATCTTATCTGCTTTTGACCCTCGGATTGATTTTAATACGCGTTTTGTGCTTGCAGATAGTTTTCTCACGTCCCATGACTCTGATTTGCGATTTGTCAGTGATCTTTCAGTAGTTTCATCCCTTTTGTGGATCGTTTGCCGATACAGTCATATTTGTTCGTATCTTTATTTTATTCGAGCATTAGTTAGGTTTTTTCACATTTTTTATAGTCTTTGTGTGATCTAGGTGGTTAATATTTGTGTTAATAGTTATAAAAAAATATCCTAATTACAAATTAGTTTACGCTTACGGTTATGCTCGTAAATCTTCATTTTAATTCTGGATATTTTTATTTTTAATAAAACTAGCAATTTTTTAATCAAAAAAATTATCATCGGATTTTATTTTGATTATTTTTTTAATTTTATCAATTAAATTATTTAAACAATATCAGTTAAATTTTATGTTGTTAAAATTTAACAGAATACTTAATGTAAAAGTTAAAAAATATAATATAATTACACATTTAATTTTTATTATTATACATTTTAATAATAAAAATAAATTAATTATATAAGATATAGATTTAATTAAAAGTAAAGAGATTAAGGATGGAGACATATTAAACTCAACTAATTTATACGAAAATATTAAATTATAATAATAATAATTTTAGATATACTTTTTATGTAACATATTTTTATTTATCGTAAATATGATGAGATGTTTTTAATAATAAAATAGATTATTGAATAGGTTCGGGTTGACTTGTCCATAGAAGGGGTGAATAAAATTTTAACTAAAAAACAATTCGATACTAAAAAAATAAGACAGTAATACCATAAAATCAATTTGGAAAAATATTCAAATAAAGTTTGAATTATAAAGTATGATTCGAATAATTTAAAGATTTTAGTAATTATAAAATTGATTTTTAAATTTGAGGCGAGTTTTTCAACTTAACATTATATATGTGTATTACATATGAAAATATTTATATAGCGTATATAATTATAAAAAAACCGTTTAAATTTACCAATAAACATTATGAATATTCACCAATAAATTTAAATAAAATCCCGAACAACTTGAGTTGACTTAAATTTTACGAATTAAAAGTAAAAAGTTAAAAAAAATATACAATAATAGTTATCAACTTGAATAACACAAAATATTTTAATTTAGCGGACTCGGCTTGATTAGATGGACTCCATGGTAGAGGTGTACAAATTCAGATATCGGATCCGATCCGATCCGAAAATTCGGATAGCTAAAATAGATATTCGAATCCGATGCGAAAAAAATCGGATACCCGAATTTTCATATCTGATATCCGAATATCCGATCTGAATATATATCTTATTTTATTTAGAATTAATCCTTTTTTAAGTAATGATATTCGATGGTATATTAAAAAATCATTTAATAAAAGTAAATAAGTTAAACTAATACGTAAATTTGTGACCAATTTTTTTGATTAATTGTTAACTAATTAATACATTTAATATAATATCATTCGAATAATCACGACTTAGAAATCAAACAGATTTGATCTTTGGTAATGGGCTAATGGCTTTAAAAATTAAATTGGATTGATCTATCCAATTAATTAAGTTAGGTATTAGTTGATTTGACAGTTTAAACATATAATTTTAATAAAGAGAACCAAAAAATAGAAATTTGTAAAATTATATTGTTTTATTCATTTTGGATTTTTAAGATAAAATTAATATTTTTCATATATTGACTCTTTTTATTTTTAAAAAATAAAATGTAGTTAATCCCAGTTTTTAGAATGAAGATTGAATTATAACGTGCAATATTTATGTGTTGGATTATAATCGATTAAATCATATAAAAGTTACAATAAATTTGATTTTTTAAAGGCCCATATTGAAAGGCCGTAGAGAAAAAGCTGTGTAGAAAAGGCCGAGACTTAGAAAAGCTTTTACGGTTACTGGGCTAGGGCTAAAGGCCCAATATATTTTTGAATAATCCGAAATTAAGATTTTTTTATCCGTATCCGATCTGATTATCCGTTTTTTATTGGATATCCGATTCGAAATATCTTAAAAAAATTTGGATCGAATATCTAAAAGATCAGATAAGATTACTCGATAAACGGATCAAATTATTCGAATAATTTTTTTTACACAACCCTACTCCATAGTACAACAAAGACTCAATAATAATAATAATAGAATTTAAATGGCAAAATCGTTGCGGCTCAATTATCGAATATAACACTGTTCTACTAATTTTTTTCTCAGGAAACTAACACCTCTTTTCTCCCGTCTATATTCCATCGCTACCCCTTTACACAGCCGCTCTCAGTAAATGGCGTGAAAGAAAGCTCAATGAACTCACCAAATGAAACCCCGATCAATTCTCCCAATTCCCCCTTCCCCATTTCACTCTCACCCACCTTTACCAAACCCTAACCCTAATTTTCCCCCAATCCCGGCCCCTAATTCTAACCCCTACGCCACACCTACTCTCGATGACCACCTCCTACCCTTCCCAGTTCCCAAGAAACGACGACGCGGCAGGCCTCGACGCAGTGCCTCCACGTCGTCGTTTCAAGTCCTCAACTTCCCCGACGCTTCCTTCAACCCAATATCCCTTACTCTAACCCTAAGTCTAACTCGATTTCCTCAACAGTAGCTACGACGACACAAACTTTGCAACCCAAAATAGGTGACGAGATAATTGTGATCAATAAGGAATCAACGGCTGAGGCTCTCACCGCTCTTTCTGCTGGATTCCCAGCTGATTCTCTCACTGAGGAAGAAATTGACTTCGGCGTTGTTTCCTCTGTTGGTGGCATTGAGCAGGTAAATTATATTCTCGTTCGAAATCATATTATAGCGAAATGGCGCGAAAATATATCCAACTGGGTGACTAAAGAAATGTTTGTTGATTTTATACCACAACATTGTAAAACGCTTTTAGATTCTGCTTATGATTATTTGGTTACGCATGGATATATAAATTTTGGGGTTGCCCCAGCTATCAAGGAGAAATAACTGCTGATCCTAGTAAAGGCAACGTGATTATAGTTGGTGCTGGATTGGCGGGGCTGGCTGCGGCTATCCAGTTAATGAGGTTCGGGTTTAAGGTTACAGTTTTGGAAGGGAGGAAGAGAGCTGGTGGGAGGGTTTACACGAAGAAGATGGAAGGAGGGAATAGATTGAGTGCAGCCGCAGATTTAGGTGGGAGTGTGTTGACGGGTACCTTGGGGAATCCTTTAGGGATTGTGGCAAAACAATTGGGTGCTTCACTTTTTAAGGTGAGGGATAAGTGTCCACTTTATCGGATGGATGGGACTCCAGTGGATCCCGCTACGGATACGAAGGTGGAGTCTGCTTTTAATCGGCTTTTGGATAAGGCTAGTAGGCTTAGGCAGTTAATGGGGGAAGTCGCGATGGATGTTTCACTTGGGGCAGCACTAGAGACATTTAGACAGGTTTTTAGGGATGCAGTTACTGAAGAGGAGATTAATTTGTTCAATTGGCATCTTGCAAATTTAGAATATGCAAATGCAGGATTAGTTTCTAAGCTTTCACTTGCATTTTGGGACCAAGATGATCCGTATGACATGGGAGGGGATCACTGTTTCTTGCCTGGAGGGAATGGCAGGTTGGTTCAGGCTCTAGCAGAGAATGTGCCAATTTTATATGAGAAGACTGTGCATACTATTAGGTATGGAAGTGATGGAGTGCAGGTTATGGCAGGAAATCAGGTGTTTGAGGGTGATATGGCACTATGTACTGTTCCTCTCGGAGTTTTAAAGAGTGGGTCAATAAAGTTTGTTCCGGAGTTGCCTCAGAGGAAGCTTGATGGAATAAGAGGTTGGGATTTGGGTTGTTGAATAAGGTTGCTATGCTTTTCCCTTATGTTTTTTGGGGTACAGATCTTGATACATTTGGGCATCTCACTGAAGATCCAAATCGTCGAGGGGAGTTTTTTCTGTTTTATAGCTATGCAACAGTTGCTGGTGGCCCTCTCTTGCTTGCTTTAGTAGCTGGAGAAGCTGCACATAGGTTTGAGACATTGCCTCCAACAGATGCAGTGACCCAAGTTCTCCTAATCCTCAAGGGTAACCAGTTTCGATTTCTTGTGTTAAATGTTTTATTTGTTGCTGCTTCTTTTCTTCTCTATGCTAATCTAATAATCTATGTTGTAGGCTGAAATACTAAAAATAAAATCGTACGTACTGTTTTTTGTGTGGCTCATTTTAATTGTGATTTGCCACTTTCTTGGGTTTCTCAGTCTTATGTGTGTATTCTATATAAAGAAAGTGCAACGTGTCATGTGGCTTGAATCAATCAAGTGAACTTAATTAATTCTAGTGCATATTTTCTTTTTTCTTTTTTTAACATGTGTCAGTTGTGCTGTATATGATGTTAACCGTAAACGATTGTATCTTGTTTCCAAAAGTCAAAGTGTTCTTGGTTCTACGAGTTTTGAGATTTGTGTATAACGTGTGCAGGTATATGAACCGCAAGGAATCACCGTCCCTGAACCCCTCCAAACCGTCTGTACCAGATGGGGTGGTGATCCTTTCAGCCTAGGTTCATACTCTAATGTAGCTGTGGGGGCATCTGGAGATGACTATGATATATTAGCAGAAAGTGTGGGGGATGGAAGACTTTTCTTTGCCGGGGAGGCCACTACAAGGCGATACCCTGCCACCATGCATGGGGCTTTTCTTACTGGGCTCAGGGAAGCTGCAAATATGGCTCAATATGCCAAGGCTCGGACTGCAAAGAAAAAGGTTGACAAGAGTCCCTCGAATAATGCTCATTCTTGTGCTTCCCTCCTTATGGATTTGTTCAGAGAACCTGATCTGGAATTTGGGAGCTTTTCTGTTATTTTTGGTCGAAAGAATGCTGATCCGAAGTCTCCAGCAATTTTGAGGATAACATTTAACGAGCCCCGAAAGAAGAATCAGGAAGGTTCAAAGACAGATCAGCAGCATTCTAATAAGGTGCTCTTCCAGCAGCTCCAGTCACATTTTAATCAGCAGCATCAGCTGCATGTTTACACATTGTTATCAAAGCAACAAGCATTTGAGCTGAGAGAAGTCAGAGGTGGTGATGAGATGAGGTTGAACTACCTGTGTGAAAATATGGGAATTAAGTTGGTTGGACGGAAGGGTTTGGGACCTACTGCTGATTCCGTCATTGCATCTATAAAAGCACAGAGGGGAGTCCAGAAACCTTCTTCAACTCCTTTGGTTCTAAAATCAGGTAGAGACTCGCTGTATTTTCATTGATTTATACTTTTCTCCAAAATATGAACTTGAACTAACATTTATATGGTTTTGTAAAGGGGCATCAAGGATGAAACCCGGCACTTTAAAGCAAAAATTCATCAGGTAAAGCCAAAATTTCAATTTCTTTCTTTGTTTGTATGATAAAAGTCTTCCTATGATAAAATAAAGGAATACCACCTGATTCCTCCTCTCCATTTGTCATTCCTATTTTTGCAGAAGGGCTAAAATAATCCGCAACACTAGAGGGCCGATTCCAGCTCCAATTCCAAACGTAGCAAATAGCATTATACCAGAGGAAATAAAAGTGATAAAGCAGGCTCCTCCTGACTCCGCTCCTTCGGGTATGTCTGAAGGCTTCTAGTAGCCTCATCTTTTTGGTGCATTTCTATGTCATGCAGCTAGTTGTTCTCATGACGTTTTCCTTCTTTTTGTTTTCTACCTCCAAGTAATTATCAACCGTTTTCATTGTCAATTGGTTGCTATTCCGGTGTTGAGTCGTTCTATTTGTGCCTTTTTGTCCATCTTTCCATAATTCACGTGGTGTTTTCCTCTCTTTATAAAAGTTATGGGGGAATCAGTGTCATTTGCAGTATTTATTCTTGATTTGATGTGAATTGTGATGGCAGTACTTATGTCATTTGTCTGTTGAAGAAGAATAGGTTAAATGTATTTCAAATGGGAAATCTGAATATAAGAAATTCCATTTTGATGGGGCAAAGCCAAGGTGAGACGTTGAAGCAATGAGCTGGGCATTTATGGATTTCAATCATGAGAGTTCTCGGTGCAATGACATTGTTTCCACCCGAATCTTCTGCCAGTCTCCTTAAATGCATAGAGCTTTGCATCCGAGTTCTTCAACAGGTTTCTGTCTGCTACCAAATATCCTATTCCCACCATTAGAGAACTGTACTATTTGATTAACCTCTTGGCTAAACGGGTAAAGTTGTCTTCTCCACATTGAAGAAGATCCTGTTGTTGGCTATGGTCTTGGGATTTTTTTATTGGTCGATCCCCACCGAAGATATCCTTGCCAGTTGCCACTTTCTACATCACCACCTTGACCGTCTGAATCACTTCGCTGCAACTTCGGAATGAAGCTTGCGACCACAGTTTGGCTATGATGACGAACTGTTTAATCTTTATGAAGCCGGTTGTGAATGGGTCTGAGAGAGAAAAATGTTCTGCCATGGCCAACGTTTCCAATAAGATCCAGTGTGAGAAGCTGAACAGGCAGCGGTTCAATAGGGTTCTCGTTAAACCTCACCTCATCAAACAAACTGAGAAAATCAATCCCGATCTCAATGCATCCTGTTATGTTAAAACCATTTCCTAGGATGCTTGCTGCTTAATAATATAACCTCGAAAACTGTACAACGATTAGCAAGCATTGGGATTTCTGATCGACGATGACTAGTAGGAGTTACTTGGATATATGTATATATGCATGCAATGAGTACGTACTCAACACGGGTATGTTAAATTTTACTCCAGCGACAAACTCAAGTATGAAAATTGAACTCGGTTCTCACTTATCTTAAACATCGAACCGAGTGTTAGTGTGAATGCATGTCTGCCTAGGTATATTTAGTTTTAAAGAAATTTCATGTATTTGAAGGATCTACAGGGCAATATCCCAATACCTTTCCCCGAATATACATAGAACATCGGTATTCGACGACACAGGTATTGCATGAAAAATGAAAATTCAGACCTGACAGATAAATCTGTGTCTTGCATGAAAAATGAAAATATAGACCTGACAGATAATCTCACCGATCCGTACGTATACAACAGGAAACAGTATTACTGAAGATCACTTGTGTACTATCTCCCTTGCCTTCATCCATTTTTGCCTTCAGTCCCTTGCAACCATTGTTCTAATTTAGCCTCTTTCTCAGCCTTGAAATCTTCATAGAATGATATATTGTGATGTGGAACTTCGACATCATCTTCGGTTTCTTCCTTTATGTCTTCTTCGTTGAGTTCATTGCCCATTCGACTCGATACAGGTAGCTCATCAGCTTCTGTATCAGGAATTGAATTGGTGCTGGCGGATGCAACCGACAATGGTGCAGCTGGTTGCAGAGGTGGCTTCTCAGGCTCGGTTTCCATCTGTTACTTGGAATCAAGTTGTGGCCACTTAAAATTACTTGCTTTTGTCTCGTGGACTGGATTACAGTTGAAAAATAATTACTGCTATCCGACTGGACATTTCCGGAACCAGGACCCCAAGACATTGGTCCCCATGAGTTGGTTCTTCCCATCAGAAAGCTTGAACCAGGACCGTGGATCAAACCTCTTCGGTCGCTTTGCGGCCATTAATGTTAATAAACTCTTAATGTCTTTAATCATCTCATCCGCAATCGGGAAACCACATTCCTTCATGCATCTCACCATGGTGATAGAATCTTCCGAGTCCTGTGTGTGTAAAGTTACTTCGTGAGACTTTTCTACAACATGATCATGTAGATTAACTACGTTCGTGTGCTGTTGAATGTAGAAAAGTCAGATCGAGGGTTCGTTTGCCACGAACTTGATCATCTCTGCTAGGGATTAAGTTATTTCCACAAAGCCGTCCACAGCGGAGAACCCATTCATCTTGTTGAAGGTGAATGGCAGTTCATCACTGAAGTTGGTCAAAGCGACGAGTGGAAATGCGTGTCAAAAAGGGATGATTTAAAAGAGAGAACTGTGCTATTCGATCATGTCTAAAATCGATATCCAACACATTCCGGGCATATACACGATCTTATTTTTGAAAAACCGAAATCATCCAAATTCGGATAACATAAAAGTGATATAAACATAAACAATTACAATAAAATTGATCCGCAATTTGAACAAGAATCATCATCACACACAGCTTATTCTTATTCATGGTTGCAAAAAATAAAAATCTATCCAAGAACCCTAATTTCCTAACCCAATTTTCACCAGAAAGTGCAGAACTCTATTTCTCAAAATGTCTATCACTAAGCTTCCTTCTATGACTTCTCCACTGACAGAACAAACCTTCAACTTAAACCAACTTATCTCCAAGTGATGTTTCCAGAATAATTCAAGGCTGCTGCTTCCTTTTAGAACAATCTTGATAAACATAAATGATTTTGATATAACATTAAATATAATATTTTTTTGTAAAATTAATTTTAAGTCCCCTAAATTTGTCAAAATCTTAAAATGAGTCTTTTAAGTTCAAATTATTTTAAAAATATCATTCAAGTACTTTAGAATAATTTTTAAAGTTTTATATTTCTCAAAATGTTAAAAACTGTCTTTTTAAACAAGCATTGACAAGAAGTTTCAAAACTTCTACAAGAGTTTCGAAACTTCTACAAGAGTTTCGAAACTTCTACAAGAGTTTCGAAACTTCTACAAGAGTTTCGAAAGTACCCAAGACAGTAGTCCAAAAAGTTGGGAAACTTTCATGTAGTGCTAAAGTTGCTGTTATCATTGAATGTCAAGCACGTCAACGTTCTCTTTTTTTTTTTTTTTTAATTTCAGATGCAAGGAGGAGCAGCTTCATGGTTGTGGCAACAACCGGCATAGGAGAGGTGCTTTCAGACGTGAAAAATGCGGATTTGCTTTGGATTTTGGATGCTTAATGTTTCCGCATTCAGCTCTTCAAAAATCGGATAGTCACATGTTATGTTTACTTATCACGAAGATAATGATTATTCAATCAATCCTCGGAAAGTGCTGTTGTGAGATTTGATTCCAATATAAGTTTGGGATTTACTTAAGACTTGTCTGGGTTTGTACGATTTGATTTGAGTGTTACTCTTAAGGTTTGTTTGCGATTTATTTGAGTTTATAGGAGTTTAGTACAATATACGCTTTCTGATGTTTGAAAAGTAACAAACTATTATTATTATTGAAAATATTTCTTACTTAAAAAATATGTGTTGTACATTTTTTCTAAATTATGTTTGCAATGTTGATTAATTAAGTTATTCTTTTGTACTCCACCTATTTTACAAACCACCTACCTCGAATAGAACTGAAATGTCAAAAGAGTACGTAATTTAAATGAATGATCAGCAGTAGTTTGCGGGCCATCACCTACTTCAATGAAAACAGGCACCCAAAATGGCATGCAATAAACACACTGAAATATTTGGAGATAATGATAAATAATGGATGGCAGCTTACCAAATTTTTTAGGAACAAAATAGCACTTATATGCCGCAGCGGACAAATATAGCCAAATCATTCAGGCGTCTCTAAAGCACCGACCATCGACACACCATAAAGTGATATGGATCATCAAAGTTCAGGCAAAAGCGCCATTCGAAATGAGTGGAGGAACAAAATTGTAACCTTGAAGAGTCCGCTCAAAGATGTGACCTACTCTCACCAACTTTTCCTGCAAAACATAAGATCAAACATATACATGCCAAGTTGTAATGCTTGTCTCTGTATATTTTGTGCTCCTTTCAACACAATCATGCAAGCTTTTTTATGGTTCAAGTCCCACCATGTCTGAAACTCCCTCAAGGTTTATTATGGTTATTAGTATTATAGTTCATTGTAATGATTGATTCTGATTTTAGTTATTCAGATCATGTCGATTGTAATCGTAACTGTAACAGTAACTTCCTCAAAGGAAAAAAAACGTTTATTAACTGTGACCAAGTGTTCGAGGTCTACAAATGATAGTCTACGCTAAAAGGAGTAATCCCAAAAGCATGGGTGCTTAACAAACTCAAACGCTGGCATTTTGACAGATAGCATCAACTAAATCAAGAGGTTGGTTTTCTCGGTTCCTATTTGTTCCTTCATGCATATAATGTGTTTGCCGAATGATGAATGAATAACAAGTTAGTAAAAAAAAGGGCAGCATACCTCATCAAATGCCGCACCAATCATTTGAAGACCGACAGGAAGGCCAGCAGCTCCCCCTTCAACAAATCCACATGGCAAAACCAATGCAGGTAAGCCTGCCAAGTTAACATTGACCTGTATATGGGTATTAAATCTCCAAATGAGAGGCGGGCAAAAGGAAAATAAGATACATATAAAATGCAGCAAACAGTTGAAAATTTTAATTCATACAACATGAGTTTCATCATTAAACACAGAAATGAAAGGAGTGAAGAATATTTTCCACGTGAGGAAAGCCAAAGCAGTGTGGAATCATAAATAGCCAAACATTCATGGTAGTATTCAAAGCCTTATACTGCAGAGTAATGACTTGATAAGATATAATCGTAGCGCCTAAATGAGCTTACCGTCATAATGTCTCCGGCATACATAGCCAAAGGGTCATTCTTCTTCTCACCTGAAAACATCACAAGCAACTTGGTAATTCAATGTTAACAGCTAATTACTATCCATACCCGAGTCATAACAACCAGCACATCAACATGCAAATAAGGAAAAGGGAATGGATTAGATAAACAAGTAAAATACGAAAAAGGGGTAATAAAAATAGCATACCAATCTTATATGCAGCGGATGGAGCTGCAGGTGATATCAGGATGTCATTTTCATCCAATGCTGCCTTGAAGCTTTTCCGAATTATGGTCCTTACCTAAAACACTTTTAATCAGCATGTCTTTTTAAATATCAAATGCTCCTAAAAGAACCATGGGCTTCAGTATATGACAAGTAAAATGGTCGAATTGACATACATTCAAAGTTATAAATGGGGGCATGGGGGTAATTAAATATTTGGTACCCTTAGTACAGTCATATGCTCAACTGGGCACCTTAATTTCAAAATATCAAACAAAGTATTCAAATTTTGCTTCTGTTTACCGATACAAAAATACAACTACTTACATTAGCCGAAAAATGTGTAGCATATGTCATCAAGTAGGGTCTGATGTTGGAGAATGGGGACACAACATTTTCTAAAACTCAATCAGTAGAAGATCTAGTAAACAGAACAGTAACATATTACATACTGCATTTGGCTTTAAGGTGACACATTAGATTTTATTAGCATATAATTACTTAAATGTAGACTCATAACTCATAAGATACTCATTGTAAGAATGTATTTAATTTAATGGAATGGGAATGATACCTGCTGAGCTCGCTTATAATATGCATCATAATATCCAGCAGAAAGAGCATATGCTCCCATTAATATTCTCATTTTGACCTGCAAAATTGAAATGTATTTCTTGTCAAGATTCCAGATTGATTACAACTAACATTATATGAAGTTTAGATGCTGACCTCTGACCCAAATCCTTTAGCCCTTGACTCTTTATAAAGTGCATTTAGCTCATCAGAAGAAGCTTGATTCCCATACCTGGATTTGTTGAAAATCACAGGAAAAATGAACCATGAAATCAGAAACTTTATTATGTATCTTCACTCCTTACTCTACCCTCTCCAACCTCACTCTTTCAATCATATATAAAGAAAGTAAAAACAATAATTTTAAGTTCCAAACTAGCTTTTATCCATCAGCATGACATATGCTTGAAAATAGAAAAACACTTCATAGCATGTCACCTGACACCATCATATCTCGACAAGTTGGAAGATGATTCT